CTTCATTTCTACTTCCCTGTAATTTGAATCTTGCCTATTTTTACTGTGTTGTCTTTGCTACTTCTTAGCCCTCAAATCATCCATTAAATAATTAGGGAAGATGAATATTCAGTCGACTCAGAGAATGACTGTTATTTTTTGTTTGTTTTGCAGTGACTGGTTGGTTCTTGTATTAGGTTGCCATAAAGTTCAATAGTTAGAAGGGAAAGGTCCGGCATGACCTTTGCAAATAATTTGCAAGGGGATTCTCTTTGTTAGTAAGACAAAAACAATCTCTCCATAGATGAATCCATTTTAAAATTTAGGAGAGCTCATTCTTTAAATGTATTAAAGAAGGGAAAATTATGCAAATAGTTTTTAAAATTTCAAAAGCTGGAGCTAGGGGGGAAGTACACAGGAAAATATGATATATATATATATTCATGTGGATTATTTCTTCTTTTATATTTAAGCGTTATACAAATTACAATAATTTTATTTTCAAGGTGTAAAATGCCTCTTATTTTCAATGCCAGTGAAATAAAATGTTTCTACATAGGTACATTTTTTTTCTTACATTATACAATGCAAAGTTATTTAAAATCATAATATATAAATGACCCAGTTAATATGTCAGCCCATTACCATATATTTACTTAAGCATGTGATTTAAATGTATTAAAGAAGTTAAAATTGTGCAAATAGTTTTTAAAATTTTAAAAGCTGGAGTTAAAGAAAATATGATATACGTATATATTCATGTGGATTATTTCTTCTTTTATATTTAAGGGTTATACAAATTACAATAATTTTATTTTCAAGGTGTAAAATGCCTCTTATTTTCAATGCCAGTGAAATAAATGTCTCTACATGGGTACATTTTTTTTCTTACATTATATAAAATTCAAAGTTATTTAAAATCATTTGAAGTGTTGAAAAATAAATGAAACAGTTAATATGGCAGCCCATTACCATCTATTTACTTAAGCATGTGATTCCAGTTTGAAATAAAGTCATGGTATGCACTTACTGCTTCTACTTATTTTTTAACATGACTACAGTGCTTCTACTTATTTTTTAACATGACTACAGTGCTTCTACTTATTTTTTAACATGACTACAGTGCTTCTACTTATTTTTCAACATGACTACATTTGGCATTATTGTTTCAGTTTGGTAATATTTCATAGAAAAACTATATTACTTTGAAATTCATTTTTAATTGGCAAAGAAATTCATTTCAAGTGATACATTAACAAATGACCCTAATTGGTCTTAGGCTACAGATTTAATATATAATTTTATCAGCAGTCAAGTGGTAAATTTGCTGAACACTGGTGGTTCAATCTGGGGTTTGAATCACAGTGAATGGGTTTGCTGCATGGGTGTTTTTGTGTTTTCCCCATGTGTAACATGCATATGAGCCAATTTCCTTTAAAAAGTCCTCCATGAAGGCATCCCTTCCCTTAGGCAGATAGCCTTCGAGTGCTTTGGGCATAATTAAGCAAACCAAACCTATCAATTTATGGGACACACAATATATTCAAAATGTTAAAGTTTTTACTATTGTAAGCATTTTGCATAGCGTAAACATGAAGTATTAAGTTTTATTAGATCATAAATAATGTTTATGAAATTGATTATTCAATATAAATGGTATAAAAGTTAATATACAATATTCATATTGTAAATTATTTTTAAAAAAAACTATGTGCTATTAGTGAAAATAAAAAAGGAATTAAGTGCTATATAAATGTGCAATTTTCAACTAAGTTGTTTCATGTGATGTGGAAGTGCAGATAAAAAAAAGAAACAATGAAACAAACTCTGATAAGTCATTTTCTTTTCCCAGTTTAAAATTTAATTCTTTCTCATATAATGCATCCAAATCAGATACAGCAGAGTTGAGTTTCTGAAATTTTTAAAATTGTTTATTAACACACAATAAACAATTTCTTTAAAAATTACACACAAAAATGTCCTAAATATCAGCAATATTTTGATTTTTTGTTGTACACCAGTTTTCAGCTAAACACAATGAAAGCGCTTGATGTATTAACTTGCAACTATTTTCAACAACACATAATGCTACATTGATAATAATGGAATATATCACTCTTCAAGTGACTGTTATCAAGGGGAAAAATAATTAATCTATTTCTACAAACAATGATCTGTTACCGTATTTTTCAAAAAGCATATCTAATGAAAAGCTTTTGCAGTCGCTTACTCAGATTACAGTTTACAAAATAAGCAAGCCCATATTACACCACACTACATTGCAAATTTATGTAGGTTTTTTACATTTAAAATTGAAATATTTTTAATAAAGTTTCTAAAATCCATAGGGGGAGGCTACATTCCAATATAAAGGAGTTATTCTTATTTGAAGCCCAAACATTCCTATTTTTATGATTTTTTTCTATTAAAAAATGTATAACTTTGAAATTTTTACTATACTAAACTTCGCATTAACTGGGGTAATACTGTATGCAATCTCCATAGTTAACCCCAAATTATAATTAATCCAGTAGCAAATACAATTAATAATTTACCTATATATTTAAGCTATTTAATTTGAAGAGCAAGTTTATTAACATCACATTCGTTATATGCACCATAATTAAATCAGCATTCAAAATAAGTATAATACACTTAAAAATAGAAAGAACAATGTTTTCATTTGCATTACTCTTGCATTTTGATGGCAGTTAATCAGAAACAGAAGATTAATGGCTATAAACTGAATTTATTTTTACAATTTAGCAATTTATTTTTAACAGATGATTTAATAATGTTTACATATTCCAGATTATGTACAGTTAAATGATGTGTTGTTATGAATGAAAACAATTACTAAATACTTGTTATCACTGCTGTTATCCATCTCATTTTCATATTTTCCATAGAAATTTTGCTTTATTCTGATAGTTTCTGATAATTTTTTCAGCATTCCACAAGGCACACACCTTAAATATTTTTTTGCCTAATTAATCTACATCAGGTTAACTAGGAATTGATTGTATACATTTACTAGCTTTTTGTTATTTGATTTTTAAAAATGGACAATTTTAGCAATTCTAATCTTTAGATTGAGGCCGAATAATACGAGGATAATTGTGATTGCAAGACCCACAGCATAGATTTCAAATAAAAAAATAAAATATACATAGTTTTACAGTCAAGAAAATTGTCATGTTTTTATATCTTTAAATAAAGTCAAAAGTCGTTAATCCGGACTCATTGGGACTTCGACGATTCCGGATTATCGATTTTTTCGGATTATAGATCATCAGTTTAAATTTCGTAAGATGGCATGCAGAAATTCTAAAATTAAAAATATGAAACTGTAATTTATGAAATTAAGAACAATTATGATCTAAAGGGTATCAAAATTTACAAAAAAAAAAAAAGCTTCATATTTATTTGTTTACTTTATTAAACATTTCTTTCAATGTAAGTTGTTCGTTTTATGTGATAATACTTTCTCTTTAATTCTATAAACAGACATAATTTCTTGTTCAGTTACAAAGTTCCGTTCTTCAAGTCCCGTTAATTGCTGTGCCGAGAATACCGACTAACTTGTCAATCGAAATTTTTCGTTTTCACTAACCTCTCTGTCACATTCTTCATGTCTTTATCCATTTTTTGCAGCAATCCCACTTTTTGTTTGTTGGACATTGAAACATACTTTCGTTTTGTAGATCCTTTGGAAGTTCCAGCATCGGAAATTCTATTTGACATAATCGAAAGTTCAAGTTTACTTTTATAAAATTGCTCTTACAGTCTGCAAAAAATAATAAGCGCGATCCAATTCGAAGATTAAGGAACAACGCAATCATTAACATTAACTGAAATAGATAATTAGATAATTTTAGCTTACACCGTCCGTTATACATTAAACGCGCAGCCGAAAACGTATTGTGCACACGCATATGCGCAGTAGTCAAGGTCTTACACGAATGCGTAAAACACCTGTGCGCATGTGCCAACGCGGCGCATGCGTAGAAAGTTTTTAGCTTTGAGGTCCGAATTAACGACTTTTGACTGTATCATTTAGCTACTGAATAATGTTAAATAAAAATCTTACAAAATTTTAATTTATAGTATGAAAACAAGTCAACCTGTCAGTCAAATTATGAAATAACAGACAATAAAACAGCAAGATATATTAATGTTAGTTATAATGCATGAACAGACAAACTTAAAATTATGGAACTATAATTTTTTCCAAATGTAATTTTTACACATCAAAGAAACAAAGACTAAGAACAAGGACACAAAATAATACATGCTGATATTTGATACTGTTGTATGCATACGAGTTCTTAGTGAATTGAATGCATACTGATGATAGCTTGATAAAATTAATTATCCCAAAAGAAACACTTCACAGTTCTGGAACCTTCAACAAAAGTACTTATACAGCTCCTCTCAGCACAATCAGTAAAACTACTAAGAATGTTAAACACAACACAAAGCATATCTAAAGAGCAAAGCTCGCACACAGATCTTTCAATACGCTGAAATCAAATCTAAACTAAAATGTCAGAACTGATGCTCTCTCAAGTTTTATACAGTTTTCTCCTGGTCACTAAGGAATTTCCAGTATGTTACATTTCTTGTAATTACTGGAAAACATATATGATAAAAATTCCATGTAAGGGCCAAATGTGGTTACAGCTACATATAGGGATCAATTGCAGTTGTACAGGAACTGGACCAAAATGCCACCAACTTTGGAGACTTTTGGTGATTTCACTCAACGTTTGATGAAAAAAACTATTTTTCAAAATCATTGCCAATTTAATGAGATAGCCATTTACTTCAATGTTAAATAGACTCGCCCAGTCTTGTATCTTGAAGTCTTTCATACTACATTATACAATACCACAGTTTTAAGTATAATTTCCCTAAAATTTTTTAATACATAAAATTTGCAACAATGATTTTAAAAAATAAACTTACAGCAAGAAAATATTAGTGAAATGTAGAAAGAAATAATTTTGATAAATACATACATCAAGAATCTCCTGTATTCGGGATATCATGGCATACACAGTTCTTTTTTGGGCTTCTATTGATTTCTTTTCATTATTCAGTTTTATCATAGTTGCTGGAAATTCCTATTGGATATTTAAAAAAACTATGAACATGAAAATGCACTTTTGATTAAAATATGTGGTTATATAATGATGTTTTTGCTGTACATACAATGCAGAATCTTCTCCATTTAAAAGATTTAGTGCAATAATTGTCAATTAGAAAACTACAATTTTGATGCATTTATGAAATACTACATAACATAACTATGAGAAACTTAATTCCCAAATACAGGTTGTGTTTTTTTCACCAATTTTTAAAATTTTTTATTTTGAAGCTTGTTTTCCAATTAACACCCACAGCTGCATAACTCACAGTACAGTCTACATTTAGGAAGTACATAAAATTTTCATATAATTAAACTGCATATTAAGTGTTTATATATACATAAACAAATTGAATGAGAACTGAATTAATATATTTAAAAGTTATACACTCAAACCCTATAGTTATGATTTTAGGCCAGGGCTACTAGAAGTGACAAAGAAAATATATGAAGGATTTTTTTTTAAAGTAAATAGCAAGGAAAGTGCATAAATTTGATGGCTTCGCTAAACGAAAACAAGATTACTTTTACCTTGCGCTAGCTTATAAACATAGAAAATGAACATAATGTTTTTAGTTCAAAAATTCAGTGGTGAGTTTTCAGTGAATAAGCATCAATTATGGTCCTCATAACATGTTTGTTGGGTGGAGGCGAGTGAATTTTTTTCTTATGCGCAGGCATATTAATTATGGTAGCACAGCTGTCTCTTCTTCTGATACATCTGTCATTCGAGTGTACGGAGATGGTGATATACCTATATGCTGAGTGATGGTCAATATGATTTGCTGTGTGCTCTTTTTATTCATTATTTGTTTAAATAAAGTGTATTATCCTAAATCGATGTATTTTTTACTCTGAGCCTCTGAACAACAATGCTTTTATTAGTTTTAAAATGATGTGGGGGGCAGTTTTTCATATTTGATAGCTCACATATGAAACTTCCAAAATTTTCGGTCTTCCATATTTAAGCTTTCTACATTCCTACAAAGAGTTGATTAAATTGTGGATAAAACTGGACAACTGGAAGTGATGCTTTACAGGAAGTTCATAACAATCTTTAATGGACTGGAAACGAAGTCACTCGAAGCCCATAAGAGTGTTTAATGAAAAAATTATATTAAAATATAATCTAAAACTTTTCAATTTTAATATTTCAGACTTTTATATCAATGGAAACAGTATACAGTGGTGGCCATAATTGTGGACACTTTTGGAAATTTTTATGTCTTTGAACTTTGTATGCTTATAGAAAACATTACATTTAACAAAATGCAAAGTTGTACAGTCAAAAGCCGTTAATTCGGACAACCATAATCTGGAATGATCTATAATCCGGACCTCAAACCTACAAACTTTCTGCGCATGGGTCGCGTTGACTCAAGCGCGTAAGACCTTCACGGCTGCGAATATGCATGTGCACGTGCACAAAATACATTTACGAGTGCGCGTTTAATGTATAACGGACGATATCAGCTAAGCTAAAATTATCTATTTCAGTTAATGTTGCAGATTGCGTTGTTCCTTAATCTTCGAATTGGATCCGGCTTATTATTTTTTGCAGACTGTTAGAGCAATTTTATAAAAGTAAGCTTGAACTTTCAATTATGTCAAATAGAATTTCTGATAATATATTTACTAATATGTAAAGGATCTACAAAGTGAAAGTATGTTTTGAAGTCCATTAAACAAAAAGTGGAATTGCTGCAAAAAATGGATAAAGGCATATCCTTTGTTTATCTAAACTTTGTTTTATCTTTAACGCTGCGGCGGGCACGCAATGAATTGGAAGTTGATCTGTCAGCACTATCCTTATCTTCAGGGCAGATGTTTTTATTTTATTTGGCTCATAATTCCTTACTAAATGTAGTATTTCATCTCGATGTACTCCGTCTTTGATATGATTTAAATCAAATTCCTCGTCATTATAACTCGCTTCCGATAGCGAAGAAAGTGACAGAAGTTATTGAAAACGAAAAAATTTCGATTCACAAATTAGTCAGTAGACACAGCAATTATAGGACTTGAACAGCGGAACTTTGTAACTGAACAAGAAATTATGTCTGTTTATAGAATTAAAGAGAATATATTATCACATAAAAAACGAAGCAACTTAAACAACTTACATTGAACGAAATGTTTAATGAAGTAAACAAATTAATATTAAGCTTTTTTTTGTAAATTTTGATACCCTTTAGATCATAATTGTTCTTTATTTCATAAATTACGGTTTCATATTTTTAATTTTATAATTTCTGCATGCCATCTTACCAGATTTAAACTGATGATCTATAATCCGGAAAAATCAATAATCCGGAATCGCCGAAGTCCCGACGAGTCCAGATTAACAACTTTTGACTGTATATGTCATTTTAAAAAGAATTTATTACTGAATTCAATACAAAACACAAAATTCAATTATTTGCAATACAAAAAAAGTTAAACGATAATAGTTATCAATATACATTAGATAGTGATGATTGCAGTGAGTTATCAGTACTTAGTAGGGTAGCCTTTATTTTTGATTACAGCTTCACATCGACGTTTCATTGAGCTGACAAGAGTTTTAAGCTCTTCTTTCGTTATTACATGATACCAGGAAACAATTATAGCCTCAATTAGTTCGCTTTTATTTGATGGTCGCCTCATTCAGACAAGAGTTTTGAAACGGTGCCACAAATTTTCGATAGGATTGAGGTCAGGACTGTTTTTGGCCATGACAAAAATTTAATGTGCTTTGTACGAAATCACTCTTTCAATATTTTGGTCAGTCCAACATCTGTTTATCTTCTCCTGATTGTTCTTGAACTAACAGAAACACCAGCATCATTCAGATCACTTTTGATGGCCGCTGATGACATTTTTCTATCTTGGAGACATCATCAATCTATCTAATCAGTTTAAATCTGGTAAGATAGCATGCAGAAATTACAAAATTAAAAATATGAAACCGTAATTTATGAAATAAAGAACAATTATGATCTAAAGGGTATCAAAATTTACAAAAAGAAAAAGCTTAATATTTATTTGTTTACTTTATTAAACATTTCTTTCAATGTAAGTTGTTTAAGTTGCTTTGTTTCATATGATAATACTTTCTCTTTAATTCTATTAAACAGACATAATTTCTTGTTTAGTTAAAAAGTTCCGCTGTTCAAGTCCTATAATCGAGAATACCACCTAATTTGTCAATCGAAATTTTTTCGTTTTCAATAACTTCAGTGTCACTTTCTTCACTATCGGAAGCGAATTATAATGACGAGGAACTCGATTTAAATCACATCAAAGACAGAGTACATCGAGATGAAATACTACATTTAGTAAGGAATTGTATAATTATTATAATTACAAATAAAATAAAAACATCTGCCCTGAAGATAAGGATAGTGCTGACAGATCAACTTCCAATTCAATGCGCGCCACGGCGTTTCCCCCCTCGCCGCAGAACAGCTTGAAATTGATAAACAGATTTCAGATTTCAAAACATACTTTCACTTTGTAGATCCTTTACATATTAGTAAATATTTTATCGGAAATTCTATTTGACATAATCGAAAGTTCAAGCTTACTTTTATAAAATTGCTCTAACAGTCTGCAAAAAAATAATAAGCCGGATCCAATTTGAAGATTAAGGAACAACGCAATCTGCAACATTAACTGAAATAGATAATTAGATAATTTTAGCTTAGCTTATACCATCCGTTATACATTAACCGCGCATGCGTAAACGTATTATACGCATGCACACACGCATATTCGCAGCCATAAAGGTCTTACACGCACGCATAAACACTTATGCACATGCGTCAACGCGATGCATACGCAGAAAGTTTGTAGCTTTGAGGTCCGGATTATGGGTGTCCGTATTAACGACTTTTGACTATACAACCTTATACTTACTGTCCGAACCCCGTACTCTTGTATTGATAGTCCTATTAATAATCATTTAATAAATCTCATAAAATAAAATATACTCTTTTGTCACACCCACTTAGGCTTTAAAAATAATAGTTAAAATTGAATTGCATGCTTCAAACTTGTACTAAGAAGTACAAAGTAAAATTACTATCTGCTTTTATAGCAAGTTAATGCAGATGCTGTTTCATACTGTCCCCCTCTGACTTTTAGTTCAGCTGAAAAAAATCACATTATTTATGAGATGACGAAATATGTAATAGTACTGTCCCAGCCTTTATTGTCCCTAACGTATTATTATTTCTAAAATAGCTAAAAAGAGAATGTTACATATCTATATGATTTACAAATTTATGAATTTAAAAAAAATGTGTAATAATAAGTTATAAAATAATATCTGTGTATTTAAATTAAGTACTGTATATTTTATCAATTATAAAAGTGATTCACCATGTCTGGCAATTTTACAAAACACTGAACATGTAATTTTGAATTCACTTTTATATGAGGTTTGGGTTGCAAGACAATAAATTCAAGCCATAAAATATAATTTCTTACTTTACAAAACGTTCTGAGAAGTTTGTCATATTTCTCAACAGAAATGTAACTGGCAATCAAGGTCAAATGCAGAGGACATTTCCTTCTAAATTAAGAGAGAATTATTCATTTCAGAATGAAATTTACATATTGTACTTAAACTATTCAAGAAATGCAAAAAAAAAAAAAAAAAAAAAAAAAAAAAAAAAATGTTAAGCTTTTGCAGTCATTCTAAATATATTATCAGATACAAGTGAGAAAGCATAGGTAAAGCATAGGTAAGCATAAGTACATATTGTACATAAGCTATTCATGAAATGAAAAAAAAAAAAAAAAAAATAAGCTTTTGCAGTCATTCTAAATATATTATCAGATACAAGTAAGAAAGCATAGGTAACTAAAATTTTTAAAAACTGAAAATTATTTGACAAACAGATATTTCTAACAAAGAAAAATATTTCAATTACAAAAATGTGTTCTTGTTACAATATAACTATTACAATATAATTTAGACATTCAGAAATAAACTATGAAAAATAAACATAAAATACGGTGATTAAAGCAAAACATGTGGTTTAAGTAACTAGCATACTTCAGTTAAAGGTACACTATAGGAACTTAAGTTCACAAAAAGTTCATAAAATAGGAAACAGTTAGTATTAGCTTGCTGTAGAAATTAATACATTTTGATGAGAAGCAACAATATAACAATTTCTAAATTATATGTTATCCTTCTTCCTCACCCCCAAAGAGTATTCTTAATAAAAAACGGTACTTTTCCGTTTTGCCGGCGCACGCGATAAAGTTGCCAATAATGGTACAACTGATGCCAAATGGATATCCTCGCTGGTAACCTTTTATGCATCATTTTCAAAACAAATTGCAGCCATTTCTTATCAGATTGATTGTTTCTTTCAATACTGGCATACAATTACACAGAAGTTTTATCAGATAGTTCAATTTTATGCCCTAAGGCCATTCGCGGGATTTAAGTCAATTAGGATGCAATCACACCACTTACCCAAAGGCAAAAATATAGAAAAGCCAAAGATGAGGGTTAAATTTATCAATTCTAATGAAAATGCATTAGAGAAGTAAAGCACTACGGTTTTACATAATTTCTGAGTAAGCCATTCGTACAAACTGAATAATTCTTGCATTCAAAATTAAGATTTAATTTGAAATTAATACTTACTAATAGATAATTAGTAGATAATTACTAAGAGAATTAGATTTTTGTAGCATAGTTTACGCATGATGAGATCACTTAGGGTCACGCGATATGAACCAGTGAATCAGGATGTTGAACCATGAAAGCATAGTAAATTCTTAAACTAATGTTTTTTTACAAATTTATGGTCTTTATTTATTGGCTTTTTACAAAATTTTAAAGGATATTAAAATGTTTATGCTTTCAAAATAAAAAAAATTCTTAGTACTAACATTTTTTATGTGTATACTGTATGTTGTCGCCAATAAAGTCTGCTTGGTGAGATTTGTGCCAGCGAAACGAGAAAAGTACCTAAAAAACTGATATGGAAGGAATCGGAAATCGGAAATTCTATTTGACATAATCGAAAGTTCAAGCTTAGTTTTATAAAATTGCTCTAACAGTCAGCAAAAAATAATAAGCCGGATCTAATTCGAAGTTCAAGGAACAATGCAATCTGCAACATTAACTGAATTAGATAATGTTAGCTTAGCTTATACCGTCTGTTATATATTAAACATGCATGCGTAAACAAATTTTGCGCATGCGTACATGCATATTCGCAGCTGTAAAGGTCTTACGCGCATGCACAGAAGGTTTGTAGCTTTGAGGTCCGGATTATGGGTGTCTGAATTAACGACTTTTGACTGTACAAGACAAATAAAAATTAATTTTAGCAGTAAAGGAACTTCTTATTCTGAATCTGAATGTAAAAAGAGAAATTCAATAGCAACTTGATGTTTATTTTAAGTAAAAATTTTTAATGCATTTCAAGAAGTATTCTGATATGAGTCTATCCTTATCAATTGTACTGGAAAATACTTATTCCTGAGGAAGGCAGACTTTTTAGGTTCCTCTCTTGAAATGTGAAAATGATGTCAATTAAGATTACAGTGTTCCCTACCATCACAGTTTTATAAAGTTTGCATACATTTTAAAGTTTAATCAGAGAAATCTGAACGTAGTCCTATGACAAACAGCATATTCTGTATGCAATTCAAAATTACAACACAGAATGGAATCTTAATAATCCAAATAAAAGAAGAGGTTATCTGGCAAAGAGGATTCGACGTGATCAGAGATTTATAGTTAGAAAATCTGACAAATGCACTTTGGAGTGCTGTAAAGATTTCTACAGAATTTACTGAAAAATGTTCTACTTTAGTTTCACTTAAAACTGTTGGACAAGTGCTGAGATTAGTTGGGTTACGTGGGCAGTCTGCTCTAAGAAAATTTTTTGAAAGTGCAAAAAATAGAAAGCTTAGGCTTTTCTTCTCAAAATCAATGGTAAATAAGCCCAAAGCATACTGGAATCATGTCTTATTTGTAGATGAAAGCAAATTTGGTTAGAGTAGATTGAAGGGTGCCCCTTAGATTATCACTAAGTTGTTGTTTCATTTACTGGGAAAACCTATTATGACATAATTGGTTGCGTGGTTGCGGTGAATTTGAATGATTGGACGGATTTTGGATAAGAAGTATATTGTTATTTTGTGGTTTATATGGTAAAATGGCTGTATGATTTTGAACAGAAAGGAAAAAAGCGTTAATTGACTGGTATGTACATGATGGTTTACTTAGGTGCCATTATAAGTGACCTGTTTGTAGGAAGGAAATGTGTATGGTTGGAGGATACCGGCCCTACGGAGGATATTTCCGACTCTTATTTTTATGAATTTATGTGGCGATGGCAGTATACAGATTCTAGTTCAAATAATTTTAGGGAGTTTTTGCATGATGTTAAGGAATTTTGTTTGACTGGAGACAGGGAAATTTGTAAATAAGGTAAGTGGATATTTCCTTTGTGTAGTGCTAAGATGAATTTCCTTTTTTATGTTATTTCATTCTTTGATTTAAAATGTAGTTTAATCAGATTATATATTTTTTATTGGCTGCTCCTTTGACTTTTTAAGTGAATATAGATCGATGTGTAAATGGACAAAGTAAAGGGAGTGCACAATGCCCAGTTTGTGCACTTCTCTACTGTTTTTTTAAGTGAAAATAAGTCAATGTGTACATGGATACTGAGTTTGTACAATTCTGACTTCTTAATTTTGATTTGTGTAGCACCGATTTTTGTGCGAAAAAACCGCTGCTACACAAAGCCAAAATAACAAGTCAAAGAACTGCACAAACTCAGTGTCCAAAAAATCCCCAATTTAAAAAAAAAATCCCCAATTATCGCCAAGAGGCATCTGTAAATGTATTTTTACTGCAAATTTAACATTTTTGGTTTCTATGGGCATATAGTTATATGGGGGGAAAATGAGGAGCTTAATCCCAAGACCTTGGTTGGAACAGTAAAACATGGCTGTAGAGGTGTTCTAGTATGAAGGTGCATCAGGATTAAATCATGTACTATTTATTAATGGCACAATGAACCATGCTCTTTATTTACATATTTTAAAAGATAATTTAAAATTATTCACCCAAAATTTGGATACTGGAAACAACTTATTTTTTTTACCACAGTAACGATAATAAGCATATGGCCTTCAACATTCGCCTTTTGGGTGTCTATGATTGTCCACAAGTTCTGAAAACACCACCTCAGTAACCAGATTTAAACCCAATTTGGAGAGAATTAAAGGTTAGAGAAAAAAGACACAACATTAAAACAAAAACAAAACTAAAAACAGTAACGATGGAAGAATGGAGGAAGCTTGATGTAGATATTACCAAAAAAAAAAAAAAAAAAAACTGGTGAACTCTAGGCCCATATGTTTGAAATTTCTCATAAATGCTGCAAGACATACTAACAACTATTAACTGACAGAAATACTACAATATTTATTAATATATAAAGATTTCGTTATGGTGTACAAAGAGACTTTTGTAAGGTAACTTTTCGATTACTTTTCTATTATTGATTTATAAAATGTTCATAAAATAATTAATGTTGCTTTGCTAAGAAAAATGTATAGATATTATTTAAAAATTTCATTTTAAAACATTAATTTGTATTAATAAATAAAGCAATACTTCACTGAAACTCATAAGCCACTGTATCTTAATCAGGTTATAAAAAGTTAAAATAAATCAAAAGAAAAAAGTTGTATTCATATTTTGTTAACTGTTTAGATCTGCTGAGGAAAAAAAGAGTAATTACTGATATTAAATACATAATTAAAGCAATTCATACTGAGTAAAATAACTTTCTTTCTAAATAACAAATCTTTGAGAGCATAAAACAAATGATTTAAATAATGCAGTGATAATTATACCTTTTTAATTCTTTCATTACACAACTGTTATAGTCTTCCATCTTCACCTGAAACCATAAATAATAAGATATCTACACACATATTGAATAGATTATTTCAGAAAATCACAATATAAAAGTACTAAATGTAAAATGTACATACGGCATACAGACAATATAAAACATTTTATGCTTTTTTTTTTTATTTTTTTAATTATTGCTTGACACTAATAGTAAAATATGATCTACCATTATTTAAAGATCTGGGAAATTTTGACCTCTAATCACTATGCTCAAGGAAATACTATTAACTACAGTGTACTCTAGCCAGAGAAATGTTAGAAAGAGAATTATAAAATGTCCATAATGATTTAAACTAGTAGCTGTAGCTTAAAATAATAGCTCTCAGTATTTTAATCTTTTTGATTTAGCTGCATATGTATCAATGGAAAATTTTTGTAGTGAGTATTTGATGGAATGTAAAAACATTCATTGCATTAAGAGGCTGATATTGAATTAGCCTCAGCCTTTAAAGAAATTTTAAAAATTCATATCTCACAGGTTAACTCATATTCCAGATTAAGTCTTTATACTATACAGTGGAAATGCAAACACAAACTTAATCACTTTTCATTTTTTACATATACTTAAATTTTCGATTTGGCATTCTAAAAATAGCTATATTTAAAATATTTATAAATGTTAAAAGTATTCAATTAATGCGCTATAATATTCCAAAACTAATACTAGAAGTGTTGGGTTATAGTTATGACATTTGTATACAATATTTTAAAAGTATAAGATGTAAATTCTTCATCAGAAAAGAGTTAATTAAATCCGTATTTCCAAAAACTGAGATTTATATGTAATTTCTTTTAAAAAAAGGGAGAAAGAAAAGGAAGCCTTTTAAAGAGTTTCAAAAAGGAAACTCAGAGCATATGTTCTTAACTTCTAAATACCACTTTTTTAAATAATAATTTACGTTCCTAATGTATTTTTATGTAATTCATGTTCCTTGTTATACATTTTAAACAGCATTCAATACCTCATTTTTTTCGTAGTCGATTTTATTAACTAATAATTAAAAATATACATCTCTTTAAATTATAACTGCAACTGAAAATATAAAACAATGGATACATTTATTTAGTTACAAATTCTATGGAAATATATTCACACTAAAAACAACACGTAAAACCCTTGGCGAAAGTACGTTAGAAAGAATATTTATTATTCTTTTACGTAGACGTTCTTTGTACGTATATGCACTCTATGGCTAAGTTTTTGTGCACGGAGGAAAGTTTGCGGAAATTCAGCCGTCAACGAAACTATGAATTTTTCAGCTAAATTAGCATTAGCAGACTAAAAAAGTCGCAAAATGCGTCAGAGATCACATGATTTTTTGTGACGTCATAGTTACTATTAACTATAAAGGCTATTATAAAAAAGTAAGTCATAAAAGTATCGATTCTCAGCCTTTTGGCTAAGATCAAAATGTAGTCAGTCATAAAGTATCTCTAGTAGCTCTAATAAAGGGTATCTCTAGTAGCTTTAGCTCTAATATGACCTTTGACGTCATCACAAATTTACTATCTATTGGTTCCGTAAGTTACAGACTGTATTCGATTCGTTTTAATTACGTATCGTTATCTCTGTGACATCCTACCTACATAACAAATAAAACCAAAATTAACTCATTCACGCTTAATTAACTCTGCGGTTTACACCCGCTGCTTCATCTTGTAACATGACTGACCTCCCCTCCCATATGGGCCTGCGTTTTAAAGACGTGTTCCCATTTGTCGCTGGTGCCCACCAGCGGCCGAGCGGAAGTCGCTGAACACTGGAAGTTCGATCCGAGGTTCGAATCTCGCGAACAGGCTGGATGCATGGGCGTTTTCGTGTTTTTCCCCATGTGTAACGTGTATACGAGTCAGTTTCGCTTAGAAATACTTTCTAAGGGAACGAAGCCATCCCTCCCTCTTAGGCAGATAGCCCTCGAGGCTTTGCCATAATCACACACACACACCCATATGCCGCTAAAGGGTAGTACTCTCTAGTAGCTCTAATGCCGCCGCTAGGGAAGGGCGCGAACCAGGGGGGGGCCAAGAGCGATGCGCAGTGCAGGGAGAAAGTTAAGCCACATACGCATGACGTCATGTGGGTGACAGCGTTAGTTCTTGGCGTTTGTTTACTTTCGTTGCATTAACAGTTTGATTTGATTTGTGTTGTTAATTCGGAAAACACTCTTTACAACCAGATAAAATAACTATTTTTAATGAAGTTTAATAGTTTCATACATAACTGTGATGTAATTTACATTTATTTTTCATTTTACTCCTATTTTACATTTAAATTGAAAAATTTTTATTTTAAATCATTTTTTTTATCATAATCTTCATTTTGTGTATGAGACTTACATCGTAGTGAGATATTTAAACTCAGTGTATGTTTACCAATACTGAGTACCTGAATGATTAGTTAATAAATTCGCGTATCCACCTTCATTCACATGTTTTGGTTACTTTCTTACATCCCAAACGGAATTTATGTATTGAAGCAGCGTCTGGGTTAAGCTTTGCGAACTAAGTAAACTGATACATGCCTCACCGTGACGAAAGAACAATTTCTCGACCACACTATGATGCAAACATCGAATGGGAGTGACATATTTCCTTCAGTGTTATTTAACTGATGCATACAGGTATGTGTGATGTAATTTAATTGATATAACTTACACATGCTTGAACCTGAAGGAAAACAAATCTGTGTATAATGCTACAATACAAATAGCGAAAGAGTAAGTAAGATATTCTGTTCAGTGTTATTTAACTGCTGCATATGTTTTAATTTTGATTCCATATAATTGTTTTTAATTATAAGAGAAAGAAAATAATTCATATTGAATGCATATTTCGAGTATAACAAAAGTATTTTAAGAAACAACCGATAAAAAATACATTAGTAATTAAAAATATTTAATTTATGTACAGGCTGAATTGAAATTAAGATGTGGTGGTTGTATTTAATTATGGCAAAGCACACTAGGGCTATCTGCGTTTGTGATGCCTTCGTGGAGGACTTTCTCAAGGGAAACTGGCTCGTATACACGTTACACATGAGGAAAACCACGAAAAACAACCCCCATGCAGCCAGCCCGTTCGCGGAATTCGAACCGAACTACCAGTGTTCAGCGACTTTACCGCTCGGCCGCTGGTGGGCCGATACTAAGATGTAGGGCAAGTTTATTATATTATTATTGTGCGTATATGTGTAAGAAAATGTATTTTAATTGTTCCATTTTTAATGTATGGAAGGAGAACAGAAACAGGATGCCAATATCGAAGATTATTTACTGTAGCAATTAATCACGTCAGGATAAATGTTATATAGAAATCTTGGGAGTGAAGGGATTATAAGAGTACTTTTAGATTATACTGAAAATATACGCACTTCTGCTAAAATCTGAAGTGAATCAGTATGAAGTGCATTTTCACTTTAAAAAGAATGTGATAAGTATACTATTTAAAAGTATAATGACGGATATTAAGAAATTTGTAGAATTTTATGGTATTTAAATATGAATTTGTTAAGTCAAATCTTTTTATATATATTTTTGCTTGAGATATGTAAATTAAACTGAAAAATCACGATCATATCTTTCTCATGGAATGTCAAAGTTCATTTGTATTAAAAAAAGTGCATGAGCAATGAAAATAAATAGAACAATACTTTTTTATTATGTTTTTACCATGGTCTTAGCAGTTATGCCATCAGTGTTCTGTTCAACAAAATTTATTTAGTGCAAACAATACTACGAAAAAATATTGAAAAATACCTGTTTTACAATATTTATTTCCCTTAATTAACTTAAATAACGTTTTTCATTTTCTAATGCTTCCTTTACGAAAAGAATTTGTTTACAATTATTTTCAGCTTCGTACGATTCTGTGCATAAAATAAACATTTTCTTTAACAAAATACTTAATCGGAAAGTATTAACCCGGTATTTCCGGTGTATCTACCACATATAAAATGATCACTTTGCTTTAGTTTACATTTTTCCATTACCAAAATATGTAGCAGACGCGTCGGCCGAGCGTCTGCCCGGGTGACGTCACTACCAGCAACCAATGGCACGCTTTTTCCGTTCCTGGCCTAACCTTAGTATATTAAAGAACCTTGGGCGCGAACCAGATTTTCTTCTCACCCACTCCCACACCTCCTACTACACTGTTCTCTCTTTCCCCTAGATTGTGTATTAGAAGCCGAGTAAAGAGCTGTTTCCACATCTTGACACTCGAGGATAAAATACGATCTTCATCATCATTTTAATGTTAAAACTATATTGCTCATTTTTAGCTGTTTAAATATCCATTACCTTTTAAATTAATTCTCATTTCATTTAGTTTTCGGTTTTTAACTTTTGTAAGACATTCCTCAGGTTTAGATTGTTAGCGCTTTTGTTCTAATTTTTTGAGTTGGAAGTTAATTTTTTAATCCACTGTTTTTTGCTTGATTGTGAATATTTTAATTGAGGAGTACTTTTCAGTGAGCTTTTGTTCTAAGCTTAGGACTTATTTCAGATTCTGATTACTTAAGAAAGGCTTGTTCTTTCATTGCTAAATTTATTTGTGTTCTTATTTATAAAAGTTCAGTTGCTTTGATTTTTTTGTCATTTCTATTGCTTAGTTCTTAGCAATATTATAATCAGAAGAATGAATTTCATGTCTTTCTCTGTTTGGGTACCCAATATACGGCGCGCAACGTGCAACTTCTTTTGTTCTATTCGTTAACATTGTAGAACTTAGAGGGGGAGGGAACTGACTTAAAAACTAAATTTTTAGAGCACTAAAATCATGAATATTAGTATTAAGGCTCACAACATCCTTTTTTAATATTTTTTCTTTTATTGCTATTGTTTATACGTAATTGGCCAATCTATCAATAATACAATACAATTTTTCCTTCATGAATTCAAATGCAGGAAATCCTCCATTTTGCAGCAAAATTTTGAACTCTTTTTCATAAGATTTTAACCCCCCGAGCGTTACGGGTTTTTTCAGGAAACGACGTAAACATTCTTACCAGGTCTGTTGCAAAAGCGGCAAGCATTTATACTCAAACTGCTTCAAAAGCGGGCCCCCCTTACCATGTGGATATAATTAAGCTAATTCTTCCCTTCGTTGAATTTAGCGAGTGAAATTAGTTTTTCTCCCTATGGTATCTTCGTCACGAGAACTGGTTGCTAAAATAGTATTTTATCTCCTATTTGGCTACTTTATAATTTGCACACTAACACATATACTGTATATTACTCGTACCTTAAAATCAAGATATGTGCCGAATACAGAAAGTTAGTCAATATACATCAGTAAGAGAAAATACGTAAAATGCTTTAAATTTCCAGTTTCTTTAAGGAATTGCTTCGTAATGGTGAAAAA